ATCCCCTGTTGCACCCACCTCACTACCCATGCACTTGTCGCATTCGGTACTTAGAAAAAAATACCCCAATGTGGTAAAAAAAAAATTAATTTTACTTCAAACAACACTTTAAAATGTAACCAAGAACTTGGAATAGAACAAAAGGGTAATAATATAAATTAACACAATATTTTTGATTAATATAATATTGTGGCAACTACAAAAACGCAAGGATTAGGGACAAATCCCAATTGTTTTCAATTCTTAGATATTAACAAATTTTTTTTACTCATTTAATTTTAGTCAATCATGGCTTTTGTAAAAATAAAATCTTCTATTTATTTTTTATTGATCAAGATCAATCAAAAAACCAGATTATTTCGTTCTAAAATGTTTGACTATATTTAAAAAATATCTTATTTAATTTCTTTGCGTGTAGGGTAGGGCCTTGCTTGGGTTAAAAATGCCGCGGATATTCCCCATTTCCATGTCCAAGCCCTCCTCTGGGATGGGATCCCGGTCCCCCATCCCATCCCAGCACGTGATGGAACGTGGATCCATGAACGATGAGTGGAAGTGGCGGTGGCGGTGGCAGTGGCAGTGGCACTTGTGGCAGCAATTTGGGATAGATGTTGCGTGTTTCTGTTTGGTTGTTAGCCGGCTCAAATGCCACGCCCTTGTCGGACGAAATGCATTTGTATGCAGCGTGGCGGATGCGGCGGTCCAAGCGTTTATTTCTCCATTTCTCGGGAGTGTGGGAGACCGGAGACGGAGGCCCAAGGAATGCACTAAACCGCTAGCCAAGCAGAGAAGTCCAAAAGAACCTCACAGTTTCGGCCAAAAGAAAAATAATAAAACAAAAAGGGAACGGTGGCCACAAACAACAAGTGGAAGTGCACTGGAAAAGATTTGCTAGTTTAACTTTTTCATAAAATGTATAGAAAATATGGTACATAAATGAAAGTGCTAAAAGAATAAATAGCAAAATATTTGTAATTTTTGTACCTTTAGTTAGCTGCTTAATTGTTATTCATTTTTGAGTCCTGAATATATTTGTTTCATTTTTTAAAAACCAAAAAGGTAAAGCCTAACACTTAAATAAAAACAGTTTCGTAGGTATATAATATAAATCCTAAACAATAATCTCATCGTAGCTAATGTTCTCTACAAGCAATCACTTAATTTTCTTCCAGTGCACGGTTCTTGTTATTTGAAACCCGGATTTACACCAACATTAAAAAGAAAGAACGAACAACAAATTACTTTTACCGATCACAAAAAGCAGCCGAAGAAAAGAAATCAAATCAACAAGAAGAACAACGTTAAAGTCGGGAAACAACAACAACAGCCGCGGGGAGATAACCCGGCTGCGACTGCGCAATGACAGCCAAAGAACCAGAGGACACCATCTGAATACGAATGCATAAATTAAACCACAAGAAAAACACAACGGCGGAATAAAATTTCCTATGTACGAATGCACTTGTCCAAAGGTTCACTTCTCACAATTGATATGCCCATCCCGAAATGGAAATTGTGCATGCAGAACGGAACACGCAGTGGGCGTCTTTGAGAGAACCCCCGATAAACGGCGGAATGGGGACATACGCAGTGGTTGTGGGGAATTCCGCTTCCTCAGAACACCGACTTCGTAAAAATTCTCACAATTCTCCAAGCGCCACAAAAAATAGTGATAGGAATATTAAGAATAAACTTCAAATTGCTCATGAAATAAATCAATTTAAATTTAAACATTCCTTATAAACACATTTCCTAAAACAAAACAAGAAATTCTAATTAATCTATAAGAAACATTGGATTCTCAGTGAAATAAAGACGATTTTACTGCCGTTTAAAAAATAAAGTTGATTGGGGAATTACGCATCCAAAAAATATCATTAAACATAGCTTTGAAACCACTTTATACGCATTATAAAAATGATAGCTTTAATAGGTTCCAAGTTTCGTAAGTGTATATGATAATGTGTGTATATATATATTGCAAATAACTGTAACAAACAATAAGCAGAACAGATTTGTCATCATAATCTAGCCTGATAACCTGCAGCACACAATAATCAAATTGAATCAAATTGTAATGAAATTAATCATTTTAGCACCACCTCTTGGCACCGTCTATTATATAATTTAATGCTATTGCTATGGCTATGCGAAGACAATCTAAATTAGTTTCACAATCACTGCGAGTTTGCTAAACTATTTAGCATAAGAAGCCCATCGAGTCCTCTCACTTAAGCGTAAAACTTAAAATATTTACACAAAATCCCAAGTGACCGCCCCCGTTGAAAAGTCGCTAATCTCGTGTAAAACTCCTCACTCCCAAATATCCATTCCGTTTTGGTGTTTCTCGTTTTTCTCGGTATGCTCAGAGCCAGAGCAGGCGTTGATCCCAGGCCTGCGGCTGGGCCAAATCTCAGAGACCCGTGTGGCTCGTCTGCAGCTGCTCAATGGAGATGGAGAGCTGTTCCAGGCGCTGCATCAGCTGCAACATGTTCTCCTGCGCCTTGTTGGTGTTGAACTCGTTGCCATGCTCCAAGGAATCCTCCTCGGCGGCAGCCAGTTCGAAATGCAGTTTGGCCAGGCTCTCCTGCTGCTCGCGGATCTTGGTCATCTGGTCCATAGTGCAGCCGGAACCTGCTTGGGAGTAAAAGATTGTGATGGAGGATTAGTTAAAGTCTTGGTAAATAGGGGAATTAAGATAAGTCGGTCCGCCATAAACTTATAATAAATTAAAATAATTTTACAAGATCAAAAATGGCCTTGCAGTTTGACACAAATTCATTTTATAACAATAAATGTAAGATTATAAGATGAAAACGATTATTGGAGGGCTTAAATTTTGAAAGGTAAATAAAACTGCACTCACCGAATGCCTTCAGTTTGCCAGAGTGAAAGTCATCCAGTAATCCTAGTAGGGCTCGCTCCATGTGCTTCACATCGGGAACTTCGGAAACAAAGGAGTGATGTTTAATCGGACGATCGTCGAATTTTCCGCTGTGGACACTGGCATTTGGCATCGAGGCTGTGGGATTCTTGCGACGATGTGATCGCGGTGTGGTCGGATTGCTATTATTATGTTGATTGTTATTGTTGGGTTTTGTGCTATCGTTGTTGTTGTTGGGGGTGGTGGTGTTGTTGTTCGTGGATGTGGGTTCAGGTGCCAGCCATTCGCTGCTCACCAAAGTGATTGCATTCAAGCTGTTGGCACTGCTGTGTGTGGGTTCCAATTGATCGCGATCTGGTCTCGACATGTCAAATCATACGTGAGGGATATGGAAATACAAATAATAAAGCACAATAAATTAAGAAATCATAAGTAATAAAATAAAAAATCAATTAAAAGGATAGTTTTACAAAATAAAAACTTACTACGGAACTTAAAACTTGTAATTAAATATATATTGAAATTTTTATTAACCTGAGCCATGTATATTAACTATATTTAATTTGAACAAAAAATGAAAAAATATGATTTTTAGTATGACTAAATATAAGACAGTATAAGATTAAAAAATATATTACAAATGAATATAACTTCACAGTCACTTTCACTGAATTAAATCTATTAACTTGACTGCCTGGATCTAAATTAGTAAATAATAAAAGTACAATAGAGTAATCCAAAGCTATATTAATAAATAAGCTACCACTGCCGTTTGCACAGAACCGAATGTGAAAGCCAACAGAAGGCTAAAGAGAAGGTCCTGCGACAGGCTGTTATTTTTTTTGCTTTTCGCATGGGGTGGCAAGAGGCTTAAAGGAATGTAGTTTCAATTATTGAAATTATAGCCACCTATTCCAGGGTTTGTGTGCGGGTGTGTGAATAATGAAATGTAATGTATTCCGACCATATGGATACCGGAAAAGTGCGTCATCGCTGGCGAAGGTCAATAATGGCCGTGATAGCCGGCAGTTAGTCAAATTTATTATCAACAAAATAAAAGAAAAAAAGAATGGAAATCCTAATTATGGAATCCGATTGTATTTTCAAAAGGGTATACAAGTATGAAGTATGATTGTTATAAGACTAAACTATTGTTGTAGCATTGATAAAAATTTTATCTTATGAGGATTTACGGGAAAGTTGAGTTAATATATCTTTGAAAATAAGATATTCTTCTTTTCTACTGAAGTTTTCTATATAAAATATTGATGAGTTGTAGGGCAAAGAATACGAAGGAGTGATTTAAGTAATGCAAATTACATCGTTGATTCTTTATAAGGAATTTCTACTGTAAGAGAAACCGAATACCAGAACCTTCCCAGCTGACACCAAAAACCGCGGTCCACAGCGACTGAAAGGCATTAAAAAGGGGAAAAGCGATGAGTAATGTAGCTTAATAGCTTCACCCACCTTTGAGCAATTTACGTGGCCTGGTCTTAAACTCGAATCGTTCATCTCCGCCGCCCCCTCCGCCACTGCCCACTTGCGCCTGTGGGCGTGGCCGCCGCTCATTCACATACGACACCTTCGCAGCCGTTTGACCCTGTCCCTGACTTTTGTCCTTCTCCTTCTCGGATATCGTACGCTCTATGGAACAGGAGGCGGAGTTTCTGCTGCGTGTGGTGTCCCCACTGGATATTCCTTTGATTTTGATCTAAATAAAACGAGGAAAATCATAATTAATGTGCCAAGATCAAAGGATATCGTACATTTGGAACGGCTGGTGAGGCAGGGGTTTGAGCTGATTTTGGTGCGCTTTGGCTTTGGGCTTCCTCTTCTGTTTCCACATCATTTGGCACTAGTTTTTGGCGTTCCACCACCTCATCGTTGGGCTCCATTTCGTTGGTTTTTCGCGTTAAATTCTACTTAAATCGGTTGGAACCAAAAATTTTCTTTGTTTTTATTATTCCTCCCAAATAGTATGACCAGAGTTGGTATATGTTGAAAATACTAGACTCACAATTGCGCCCACCAAAACAGTGTTGCTCTACTTATTTACTTTTTACATTTTAGCGGGCAATTTGAATTCTTTAAAATAGGAATAAAACAAATTTACTTAATTACATATGTGTCTCTTTAATCAAAGAAATATTTGGTCACTTAATTTATGCCTTTTTCTTGGAGAACCCCATTGTGTAGACCAAATGGACAAAGCTTAGAATGCCGACGCCGCACAGTCCAGCAGTTATGCCAAACAAAATCTTGTCCGCTGGTCCGCCTTTCAAAAAAACGGGTAGCTCGTTGACAGCCTAAAAAGTGTAGAGTTTTAAAATATATTGAATGTTTTAAAAAACCGCAGCTTACCTGGAAAACCTTCATTTTATTTGACAGTCCATCGGGAAGAGCCATTTTTGCTTAGGTTGTTATGTAACTGCTGAATATAATAAAACACTTGAATAAAATACTCAAATATTTAACTATTGGTTCGATTGTCTTGTTAAAATTGTATTATTTTGTTCCTCCTATTACAGTTATTTATTTTTATTAAGAACTCACCTAAACGCTTGTGCGACAATTAACGAATTGCAATTTTCTTACTGCAATTTCTTGTAACGGATAAAAATAGAATTAATCACAGATGATTTTAAGCAAAACGAAATGCAAGAGAAATGCATTTAAAGAGTTGTCAAGTTTTAGAAACATAAACACAAATAAAAAGTCTGTAATTTAAATAACTTAACAATTGTTATCTTAATACTAATTTTAATTTAAAATAAATGTCAATTTGTGTAGTATCATACATATAATACATTATTGTTTATTTCACAAAGTTATCTTCTATTCAATTTTTTCTGCAAATTTTGAATTTCGCGGGCTGCTAAGGCCGTTAGGAATTCAAATCTACGACGAATTACTAAAATCGTAAAATCTAAACCTTTTCTGAAACTAATTTCGTGAATTAAGTAAGAAGTAAGCAAACAAATTTAAACTAACCACTAATAGTTAACCACCATTTTTCCAATTCGGAGTCGCTATGGCTGATTTTAAATTTTAAATTCCAACTGCCGGATTTTAGAGTTGCGTCGTGATTCGCCGTCCGAGAAAAAAATTGTGTGTTCCGCGCTATTTTGGCTTTTTGTGAATTTTTCAACAGGGGCTCAGGAAAAATAGGCAGCGATTTGGCGTCTTTTCTGCACTATTCCTTTTTACGGCAGCACGCCAATGCAACACTGGGTGCGAGTGAGATGGCCCTACTACAAAGGGGGGCGCGGCAAAAGCTGCCAAAGTTGCCATCCCGCTTGCACTCCCTACGAAAAGCGCTTGCGGCGAAAAGCACTCCGAAGACACTTGGGGATATCCACCATCGAACGGTTTCTGTGCGCCTGGTGGGGATTACAATAATTCTACACCGAATGAGTTGTGCAATTTCTTTGAAAAAACTGCTTCCGTTCGGTTAAATGTGCAATTTGTAGAGGCAATGAAAAAGAGCGTTGGGGCTTTGAAAAAATGGGTGTAGGTTTTTTTAGGGGACATTTTGGTTTCTTTTTCTACACCCAAAAAAAATCTGTGTGTTAATTTAAGAAGTGTGGTTTGGAATGATACAATCAATTTGTTGGGATCAACTTGATCCTAAATGATTGTCAATAGTTACCAAATGATTTTAAGAATGGAATTTGATTAGAATCGCTTGTTTCGATTTTAATAACTTAAATCAGGGTATTATATTCCAAATTTTAAAAAATATATAATTTTACATTAAGTGACAATAATGAAAACCTAAGTACGCATTTGGAATATAAAAGAAGCAGGAAAAACGCGCAATAAGAAAATACCATTTTCATCTATATATACAGAAATGTTAGACTAAAACCATATCAATGGGACCCTTAAATGATCCTTACTATTTAGCTAATCAGTTTCATATTAGTCAGAAAAAGTGTCAATCAAATCATATTTTCAAAAATGTACCTTTCCAAAATTTGCAAATTAATGATGATATTAATAAATTTAACTGTAAAAGCCTGTAATTTTTTGAAATTGCATTTTGTGTTATTTTGTTTTAATATAAAATTACTAAGTTTAGTACATTATTATATGTAACGCTAAAAGTTTTTAAAATGGTTGCTTACATCTTAAAGATCGGTATTAAATCTCATTTGCGTGGCCTGCTAATTACTTAAGTGAAAACAATTAGCATTTTTTATTATGTCATAAGATTAGCAATAACAAGTTTTATTTTTATTTGTTTCTTTTTAGTTAATTGCCAAGGTAATTAGACTTAAAAGTATCTTTTTGCATAATCACGTAAGTAATAATTATATTAAAACATGTCATTACACCCCCTTTATTATTTACGTTTAAGATTTATAAAAATTTGTTGACTCGCTTGCCGAGTCTTTGATTTTATTTAATTTGTTTACAAAATCATTGCAGCTGGCGAATAAATAAATTCTTTTGTATAATGTGACGACTAAAAAGCTGTTTAAGCTCTCGGCCAAAAAAAAAATGTACATAAAACGCTTACGCTCGGATCAGTCCCCCCTTGAAGCCCCAAGCATTGTCGACCTGTTTCAAAGAAACACAAATATAAAACCATATCGCCCTGCTAAAGCCTTCGCCGATTTTCAGCGCCCAGCACAAGAACTTTCAAAAACTGTAGCTTCCATGCTAAATTAACTTGCCAAAGTTGCGATGCGATGCCGCTTTTCGGTATTCCGAAACGAAACTTGAAAAAAGTTAAATCTGTCAAGTTCACAATCCGAGTGCTTTTATTAAAATAGCCAATGAAAAGGGGGTGAGGGAAAGACTTTGGACATATTCTCGGGTTCTTCTCAGGTTTGATACCTTATACCGATAGCCCTTTCTCCCTCCGACTGCCTGTCTCTTTCTTGGGGGCTGACGCGCTCTCCCTCTACCAAAGTTTAAGTTCTAAACTTGTTCTGCAAGCTGCATCGCTTAAAAAGAGTGAGTTTTGTCGAGTGAGTGTTTAAAAGTTCTAGGGCAATCAAGAGGCACAATAAGTCTGACAACTTGAACCGAAAGCGTTAAATTGCAATGAAATAATGGTCTTAGCGTAAAATCAGTTCATAATAATATTAAGAAACTAAAATATGACATAATAAAGATTAAACTTCAAATCGCTAATTATGCTAGAACCGATAAGATCACTTGGGATCATTACACAGTAGCATACTAACCAAAAATGTCAGGCCTAAAAGTTTTTATTTGCTTTTAAATATCATGAACTTTGTAGACTTATTTATAATTTGTATTTCTTCTTATTATATTATGTAAGATTCGGAATCTGTAAACTTTATTAAATCAAAAGCACCTTACACACACTTGCAGAAAGCGCTATTAATGCTTTTTTTGTGCTTTGCAGATTGAAAGTTTTATCAGAAAGCCAAAATTACGGGGAAAGGGTGGTGTGGGGAGCCCCAAAACCCCCTCCCCTCAACATAAACCCTCAACCTCAAGGCCTAGCTCAGAATAACATCAAGCTTCTTTATTCTAGTTTTGTAGGTGCGAAAAGGATCTTAAATAATAAAGCAAAAACATAAATAAATATTAAAACACTATTCCCAAAATAAATATTGTTTTTAAATTTGTTCCTTAGTTTTTACAATTGCCATTTAAAGATAGCACATGGTACTTAGCTTTTGTGCAAATGCGCTTTAAGCTTAAGTGACAAAATAATAAATAATTAAAGCTTTAAATGTAGTACTTATATATACAACTTAATAATAGGGGAAAATAATTATGATAACCTATTTAAATGCTGCAAAAAACGACTCCACTGCATCTGCTGCCTTTTTTCGCACTCTTTCTCGCATTTTGTTCCCCTAACTTTGCTGCGTGCAAGTTGAGATAGCAATATAGTATGTGCGATTGCGATGGGGACAGAAAATTGGCGCTACTCCTTTTCATGGGGCAAAACAAAATGGATTGCTCTTTAACTAAAACAGTTAACAGGCGCCCAGCATAAAAAGCAGAGAGAGCACGAATACTGAGCAAACATTGCGGCATATATTCATCTCTTTCGTGCCTTCGTGGTCCCCAAATTTCCATCTCGTATTTCTGGTTGCCTATTACAGAATTCACAAATCCGCTACGAATATAAGGCATTCACACTATTCACTCACTCGTACTCGTAATCGTACTCTTATCCTCCGCCCCTTTTTCTGCTTTTTGGGGAGTGGCAGGTCGCGAGTGAGTTTGCCGAGTGGATTGAATGGGATTCAATGCGATAATGGTGGATACGTAGAAATACGTCGGCGATTTTTGTGTTGTAAAAAATGTTTGAACTGTTTTAAGTTTAAGTTTTAACGGTAACAGTAGAGCAGAAAAGTGTAGGAGGTTTCTTATTCCCGGCAAGAGCGAGTGAGATGAAGATAGGCAGCCCCAAGAGAGAGCGAGAGGGAACCAGTGTGTCACCTTGGCATTGAAATATGCTTACCCACACAAACAAAAACACACGCGTGAGTGGGTGGGGGAGAAGGAGGGGGCAGTTCATTTACCTTTACGCTGGCGTGGTGAATTAGGTTGTCATGTTGCTTGTGCGTGCGAGGAAGACGCCAAGAAACAGAAATGCTAATTACCTGGCGGGAGCACATAAATGGGGAAACAGTGATGGCAATTATTCAGCGGGAAAAAAAATGTAATAGCTCACTATAAATAAAGCTATATTTTGTGCCAAAGAGCGCTAAATGATTGGTAGCTGAGACCTCTAGAAAAGTTCTGTAATTTCTTAAATTGTGAATGTAAGAAAAAAGTAAAAATAAAACCATTAAGTTATATAAAAATAATTAAATCTTTTTATAAAGACAACTTTTTAAAAAGTTGGTTCAAACTAGAATTACCAACACTGGTGAGTACTCCAAAGTTCTTTGGGGCTAAAAATTTGTTGTTGCTTATGGTTATGGCTATATGTTGGTTATCTCATTTGTTGTTGCTGCTTCTGCTTTTAGTCGTGATCACGAGCGTTTCTGCTTCCCCTTCTTCTGCCGGGGGCTGTCAAATGTGTTTCAAAGTCAAAGTCGTGCGAGTGTGAGCGAGCCAACCAGCCCTGACCCTCCGCCCTCTTCCTTCCTCTCATTCGCCCCACCACCCACTTTTTTTGCTTAGCACTGGTGTGCGTGTGCTCTCCAAGCTTTAGTTGTTGTTATTGTTTCTCCTGTCGTTTCTGTGTTTGTTTTATCATTCTAAGTGGATGTTGTTGCTGGCGCTCCCGTCATTATTTAGAACCTTTTTCAGTGTGCGCATGAACAAAAACACAGGCGGAATAAAAAACGTAACACACCACAAACTCACACACAACAAACAAAATACGGGTGTGTGTATTGAGCGAGTATCATCATCAAGTGTCGTCGGCAGAATCGGAATCGGAACCAAAAACCCCTCGCAAAAAAGGGAGCTTGCTGTTCGCCTATTCGAAAATTTCACTAAAAATTGTTTGCACTCTCTCGCCGGGCATGAAATGAAAGTATCCTTTCGGCGACGCCCCCCAGCAAGCCTACGTAGAGCCCCAAAGTTCTTCCACATGGGGTTTTCGAGTGATTCCAGATGGGGGTGGTAGTGTTTTTTGGACGGATTGTCGTTCTGTCGCACCTGTTGGC